CACCCAGAACATCGAACGAAAGTAACCCACCAACAATTGTATGCTTAAATGGCTCTATCAACCATAAAAAATTTGCTATCAAAAGCTTGGGTTTTTGGCATGAATATGGAGACAAAGTGAAGGAGATGTTGTTTTTAGTTCATAACAATTGAGAAAGAGAGTATGAGTATCGATTTTAAGTGCATTAAAAGCTTCAAACATTGGTTGTACAAGATTGTTGGGTTGTACAAGGTTGTTGGGAGTATTCATGGCAATGGCAATGTTGTAAATACTTGAAGATGATGAGGTTGAGAGAGTAAAAAGGCCATTTTCGTAAAAAAGTAAAAAAAAAATTAATGGCATTTTCGTAAATAAAATGAAGATGTGGGGTGGATTGGACAAAAACAAGATGAGATAAAAGAAGAAGTTAGTTTTGTGTTTGACCATGAGTTTTGAGTCAAATTTGCCAAAACCCCTATAATAAATGTGTATGAAGATTAACTATCTATGATCCACTATCTCTACTCTACCTCTGACGATCTAAATGTTGTTCTTAAACAAAAGGATGCATTCAATGTAAGAAAAACTTTTGTTTGGAATAAATAATTTTTACACTCTTCAAAAAAAAATGATTCAAATCAAAGAATTATGAAACAAGAGCTCTGTGATAGTTGCCTCTTAGGGGACCAAAAACCTGAACATAGGGGATCAAACGCTTCAAGAGGTAAGAGCTCTCAGATAGTTGCCTCTTTGAAGTACACACAAAAAATACGGTCCGATAAAATATTTTCCTCATCCATGCATCTGCATGGGGATGAGGTCTTTGCAGTGGACTGTGGAGTCCCTGATGGTGAGAGACTAGTCTATATGGTGGTTATTAGGGGTGGGCGTTCGGGTACCCGTTCGGGTTCGGGTCGGGTATTTCGGGTTTTCGGGTATTTCGGTATTGGGGTTTAGAACCCGTTCGGGTATTTTTACATATCGGGTCGGGTTCGGTTATTTCGGGTCGGGTTTGGATATTTAGATTTTGAAAGAAAAATTTTAAATTCTTAATTACTTAAGTTTCATGTATTTAAAATTTAACTATTAACTTAACTGTTTTTTAAATGTTTAATAAGTTAGACGCTTAATAAGTTTGAAAATAAATTATTGAAAATATAAATCATTATTTTGGTTATTATTTTCGAATTTTGGATGCAAATTTTGTTTAGAGTATGAAATAAGAAGCTTAACATGCATTTTAAATGAGTAACAAATCAATTTTTTTTACAATTATATGTATATTATCTGATATGAAACTATATATAACATTAATATAAATAGTTTTAATAAAACGAGACAAAATAAACTAGGAATAATAGGTATATATACATATGTTCGGTTATCTTCGGATACCCATTCGGGTTCGGATATCCAAACTCTCCTAACTCAATACCCGTTCGGGTATTTTGCTACTTTGGTTCGGATATTTCGGGTCGAGTTCGGGTATCGGATAAAGTGCCCACCCCTAGTGATTATGATAGATATCTGAAACTATGAATGCTAGAAAAAGGGGAAAAAAAGAGAGCTCAGTGTGAGGCTATTTACACATCCAGAATATCAGATTGATGCGATGGACCCAACCATCGCTGAAGCCTAATTCTTCACAGCTCAACTGCACCAGCCGGGCATCGAACCCGGGTCTGTACCGTGGCAGGGTACTATTCTACCACTAGACCACTGGTGCTATTTGTTTAAGGTACTCCTTTAGCTTTTATATATAAAAAAAAGCTCGGACAAAATTTAAGTTGCTAAAACCATGCTGGTTTATTACTCTATTCGAAGAAGTCACCATACCACTTTTTCGAGGAAATAGAGAAGTATATGTACATTCAGGTCACTACTATGGATTATGTACGTATATAATCCGATGTTGTTTGGTAATTTCTAACCGGTAAGAGGATAATAACATAACTCAAGGGTGTTTTAAAATTAAACGCTTAATTTTCCAATACACACTATGATTGTCTCGACAAGTACGAGATTGATACTAATATCTCCATACACAAAACCAAAAAAAAAGAAAAGATTCAAATTTCCTGCTAAGAGGTCCAAAGAAAGTAAAAGAAGATCAGCAGCCTTCATAGTCGCCTTGCGCATACTTGTTTTCAGGGTAATACACAGCCACCACTTGGTTTCCTCCAAACTTTCTTCCATTCATCCCCAATCTTGCCTTTGCTGCACCATCCACATCAGCATACTCTAAGAAAACCTGCATTAACATATATATTAATCTCATTAGAGGGACGTGTGTTAAAAGACTTTAGTAAAAAAAAAGAACTGCTTCTCTGAGCTGAAAACCGAACCTTCCCAACTCCTGGTGTTGGATTATGATCAGGATCCGGACTGGGTCTCGGAATCACAACCTTCACCAAGTTACCTGCACACGAAAAAACGAATTATCAACAGTTCCAAACATGTAAAACGAGCTTGAGTGTGACTAGTTGCCAGAACGTCAGGAACATTAAACAAAAAAACAAACTGAAATTACTTACCGAAGTTTCCACCTTCCTCTCTCATGTCCTCCATTATTTCTTTATATTCTTCATCGTCGCCAAGATCATCAGCCGAAACTACTTGAGTCAAACAGACAATCTTCGTAGGCGTGCCTCCTGGTTGTAGCATAAGCCTCTGTTACACAAGTTCAATAGACACTTAATTAGTGATCTTCACAAAGTTTAGATATGTATAGCGCAGTAAAAGCCACACGAAACTAACCTGCAAAGCAATCTGCTGTTGAGCATGAAGTAATATATCTTCTTGCTCAGGCTTAGGTTGAATCGAACCTTGGACTGCACGTCTCACTGTAAGTGTCCTATTGCCCATCTGAATCCCGTTTAGAGCAACGCATGCCATATCCGTGACTAAGGGATCCTGGAATACACAGAATGCATACCCCATCGAGTTTCCAGTCTCCCTGTCTTTAACCAAGTTGAAACCTCTTAGCGGCCCAAAGGACTCTAAGAGCTCCTTGATCTGATCCTCTGTTAAGTAATACGGAAGCCCACCCACAAAAATGCGGTCCGGACCCTCAAGCCCACCAGTAGAGACTGAAGAAAATCCAACAGCCGCCAAGTTGAGATTGGGATTAGGCTGGCTCGGACCAAGAGGTGCAGCAAGTTGGTGCAGCAAGTCTCCCCCAACCGCTGACATCACTTGGCTAAAGAAAGTTGCCACCGACTACAACATGGAAATCGATTCTCAGTAGTCATACAATGATATTGCCAAATTTTGTGGTTCAAAATGATTATAATATACAAAACGTAACAAAACCTGCTCATTTGCAGTGGGTGGAAGGCCACCAACATAGACACGTCTGGCATGCCTAGTTGCCTGCGATCATAACAGGGTATTAGGAATAAAACTCTACAAAAGGTGAAGAACCAAACAATGAAAATAGATTTGATAGATCTTACTTGCTGAGTCATTGCCTGAACGGGCAATAAAGGAAGCGCTCCCAGTTGCTAGGTGAGAAGAAATAATGAGGAGTTATAAGTTTGGTTGCATAAAACAAGAAAAACAAAATATATACCTGATTAGGGACCATTGCGAACATCCCTGGAATATTAGGGATAGCTGGCACACTAGGAAGCTGGCCTGAGTAGTACACATCAAAAATAAATCATCAGACAAATATTACTTTCCGGAGGAGCAGAGACCAACCAACAAATACAAAGCTAACATAGAACACCTTCCTACAACTAAACCCGCTGATTACAGAATAACCAACAACTTATGAACTTCAAAATATGAAAAATAAAAATGCAATATCTGTTTCAAGATCTCAAAATCTGTTTAAGGCTAGAAAACATCCAGATTGTTGCCAGTCGAAGATGAAGAATACCCATAACAACCGTTGCATTGATTTCTCCTTGTACTATTAAAAGCTAGAAGATGTCGGCTCATTGTCCACACAGTGGGGGAAACTAACCCAACATAGCCTTCTTACTAGCTACAAAAAGACAAGACACAAACAAACACCACCAAAAAAGACAAAAACAAAAGTCTCTCAGTTCCAGAACCACCAGGGAACAAAAAAAAAGGTAAAACATCCTATGAAGAGAGAATGGATTTAAAGTGGTCTGCAATAAAAATGCAGCTTACCAAAGTCACACCGTGTAATTGCCTATAATCTTGGCTAAACTACGTACAATCAAAAACAACGAGCAGTTAAGGAATATAATAAAGTTGAGTAAATGATGAAAGCATATACCTGTTGCAGCAACGTCCGTAGCAGCTAAGAGTGCAGAAGAAGGGGGCGGGATATCGAATCCACTTACCCTCTTGCTGAAAGGGTATAAATTAAGAGGTCAGACATCAGTAGAAACACATTTTTAACACACACAAATAACACCACAAATAAAGATCAAAGATTACACCACATCTTTGTGTTCAGACATTCACAAAGACTAAACCTCAAGACACGTAAATATACTCTTCAGACTAGTACATTGTACATATCCTATAAGGAAAGGGATTTACTTGAATTGATATGTATGTCATGTTTCACATAAAAGAGACAAAGACAAACACATTGTATACCGCCACAGAAAAAACTTCACATCAAAGTAGAATATAACAGAGAAGCTTAAGGTACCTCTTGGACCGTGATCTATGTTCTGACTTGTGCCTATGCTCTGACCTTGACCTACGTTCAGAACGGCTCCTCGAGCGAGAGCGTGGCATGTATCTCTCCACTCTCTCACGATCACGAGAACTCCTCCTGTAGATAAATGATGACACCCCCAAGCTTACGAACGAAACAACCATAAAAACAAGGAAAAAATTCTAACAAACACAATTAGTATACCTTCGACTTCTACGATGATGATGATCATCATCTCTCTCACGTTCCCTTTTCTCACTACGTTCTCTGCTACGGTCATCCCTATGACGATCCCTACGATGGCGGTCTCGCTCCCTATTCATGTCTCTGTCCCTGCTCTTTTCCCTTTCAAGATCATGAGATTCCTGCAGAGATACAAACGTTAAAAGGCTTACAATAATGAAAACAAAAAGCCAATGAAGAACGTGTAAAGATCAAGAATACATACTCGAGACTTGGAGTCTTCATCACCAAGAGACTGGAAAGGAGAGCTCTCCACAGATATGAGTTTCTCCTTATTTTCATCAGCGACGCTATCTCCGTTAGCTTCGTAACTCATCTTCTCCTTTGTAATCTCTTCTCGGATTGTAGGAAAAAACATTGAACAAAACCCTAGGGGTGATTAATGGATAAAAAATACTGAAGTTGCTAGGAAAAAAAAGGGTTACATTGGTAAACTGAATAGAGTAGTTTAAACCAAAGTAACGGGCCTACACCAACCGTAGAAGCTCATAACGAACCTAACATAATTGGGCTTCTTTGAACTAATATTCTGGTTACCAAAAAAGTATCTATACTACTAAATAATTTAATAGGATTTTTTTTTTTGAGTACCCTGATTTTTTTAAAGTATTTACAGAATATCCCCCTATACATTAAAACAGAAGTCACTTGGACACATGTCACTCACACAGGCCTTCTCAGAGAAATTCTGAAAATCTGATTGGTTGATTTATTTCAATTTTCGTTTGTATTTTTTTTTTTCGCCGTGCAAATGGTATGACAATCGTATCTCAAATATTTGGTTACGTTAATTACTTGCCTTATATTATATTCGATAAATCGTATCTCAAATATTTGGTTACGTTAATTAGAGAGCTTACATTATATTCGATAACTTGCGAAACAAGTTGGAAATTAAATGCCAAAGATGTCAATCTCATACCATTAGGAAAGTAATTCAATATATATTAACGATGGCATAATGTCTCTAGACCTAACGCAAGTCTTAAAAACATCTATGCAATGGTTAAAGCTACGAAAAATCGAGTGTCATCCATCAGGGAATTGAGACCGTGTAAAGATACATGGCGTATTGAGGTTAGGATTCTGCGTTTATGGAGAAACTACAACAGAGATTCCGGAAACACCATCGAAATGGTGTTTGCCGATAAAGAAGTAAGTTCATTACTTGATTCCCTATGTTAGTTCGATTGTTCTTAAATTTTTTACAGCAAACATCTTTAACTCTCTTCTCATCACCGTGTAGGGGACAAGAATCCATGCTCAAGTCGGTGAAGTGCTCATAAAACATTTTGAAGGGAAACTAACCGAAGGCGATGCCAAGGTCATCCACTTATTTAAAGTCTACGACGCTACGGGTGATTATCGAACCACCGCGCATCCCTACAAAATTGGATTCTTTCAGACTACTTTTGTTGGACCAGCGGATGACTTCCCAAGTAAAGTTCCGGAGAAGTATCTTGTCAATTACAGTGATATTATTGGTGGGAAGCTTGATAGCAGTTGTTTGGTTGGTGAGTCAATTCGTACTATTGCTTTGTCTTACAATATTTTTAAATGACACAATATTTACTTCTTAACTTGATATGTAGATGTTATTGGCCAAGTAGTTAACTTCGGATCTCTTGAAAACAAAGTCATAAAAGGAAAGGATAATTTCAGGCTATTGATTGAGTTAAGGGACCAAAAGTAAGTTTTAATATAATGCCTTTTCCTTTAAATTATTGGATCAGCTTTTCTTGTTATATCGATTAATAATACTGGGTGTTATATACAGTGATGTCAAGTTGATGTGTACTCTTTAGGGCTGTTATGCTAAACAAGTATATGATTACAGTATGTTAAACATGTCCACAATGATCATTGCTCTTATCCGGTTTTGTTCCATTAAAGAGTGGAAGGTATAGTTCCTACACTTACTTTCTTAATCGACTTATCTCATAACATCTTCATAAGCTTCGTGCTACCGCATGTGCTTACTCCATATCTAGCGGGTACAATTCAACCCATATTTTGCTGAACCCAACATTGGATTTAATTGCAAATTTTAAAGCTAGGTATGTCTCATTGTATTTTCATCTTACCTTTTTACGAGAAACTAGAGGTCTTATCACATTGTTTTACTGTGCAGTCTCCCCAATGATTCACTTGCTCTTACAAACAATGATAGTAGCCAATGGTCCGTTGGTAGTGCTACATCTGTTCGTGCTAGGTTTTTTGTGACTAATGAGAGGCTAACCATAAGGGAGATCATCGATACTGATCTGGTATATTTATTAACAAGGCTACGAATCATTATTTGTGCATTTAATAGTTACAAAAATATTAAGTTGACGCATATTTTTAGGTTGGTACTTTTGTCACTCTTGTCACAATTGAAAGCATAGATGCTGATCGTGGGTGGCAATATCTAAGTTGCAAATACCATAACAAAAAAGCCATGCCAACAACCAATGTTGATGCGCTTAGCCGTCCCTTGTTCTTCTGCACTATATGCGATAAGGAGCACATTGAGGTCATTTCAAGGTAATGTATTCATAACTGATTGTTGCAATTATTACTGAATGTGCTTTACAACTAGCGTTCGCTCTGTGACATATAAAGCTTAGGTATCATGTTTAGTTTGATGTTTGTTTTCAGGTTCAAATTAATTGCAAATGTTAAGGACGATTCAGGTGAGGCAAAGTTTCTTTTGTTTGATGCCAACGCTCAACTTATTGTCCATCATCCTGCCGCTGAACTTTATGATGAGGTAGTTTTGATTCATTAATAAGGTAGACATTATGTGATTGGTTCTATAACTACACTGTAACCGAGTATATATGATCGTAGAATGAAGATCCCGATGTCTTACCTGAAGCGGTTACCGACCTTTGTGGCAAGCGATTCCTTTTTGAGATATCAGTTGATGCTGACAACATCAAGGGAAAGAGCTCTCAGTATGTAGTTCGATTGGCCACCGAAGACCGTGAAATGCTTGAGGAATTTGCTGCTTTACCTCCTAAACCAGAGGTATTAAAACAAAGGATTTCATTGCCACAGAAGCTAAATACTATGCAATTACATAGTGTTTAATTAGTAAGATTTATGTCTTTGGTCCTAATTTTGCAGAACTCGGATGCTATTTCCTTTGGTTCTGGTGAGTTTTCAGTAACTCCTTTGTCTAAAAGAAAAAGCCACGAAGATCGAGAAGATCATGACACAAGCCTTGAGGATCAACACTCCGTCAGCAAGAAACCATCCCAGAAGAAAATCAAGGGCGAGTGATCCGTTGAAGATTTTAAAATTTTTTAAGTTCTTATTATTGTTATGGCTTTCTCGCTGAGAGTACTTCTATTGTCATTTCTTAATTTTGGTTAAAGAACCTTTCTGTTTTGGATTTTGATTAAATTTTATAAACTTGCATTTTTCTTCAATAAATTATGTTAAGAGTACTTCTATTTTCATTTCTTAAGTTCTTATTTTAAAATTTTTTAAGTTCTTATTATTGTTATGGCTTTCTCGATGAGAGTACTTCTATTCTCATTTCTTAATTTAGGTTAAAGAACCTTTCTGTTTTGGATTTTGGTTAAATTTTATAAACTTGCATTTTTCTTCACTAAACCATGTTAAGTGAAGTGTATTATTCATGATTTTTCTGTTTTGGATTTTGGTTAAATTTTATAAACTTGCATTTTTCTTCACTAAACCATGTTAAGAGTACTTCTATTGTCATTTCTTAAGTTCTTATTTTAAAATTTTTTTAAGTTCTTATTATTGTTATGGCTTTCTCGATGAGAGTACTTCTATTGTCATTTCTTAATTTTGGTTAAAGAACCTTTCTGTTTTGGATTTTGGTTAAATTTTATAAACTTGCATTTTTCTTCACTAAACCATGTTAACTGAAGTGTATTATTCATGAATTTTCTGTTTTGGATTTTGGTTAAATTTTATAAACTTGCATTTTTCTTCACTAAACCATGTTAATTTTGACCAATGGTAAGGCAAAGCAGCTAAATAAATACAAAGGTGATGTTTCATGCCTTTGCCTATATCGGAATATTGTATTTAATACTTGAGCACTACTCATTATGATGGATCTTATGCATTTGAGTATATTATACGTCATGAGAAGTATGATATAGTATACCTTTGCCAATATCAGAATATTTAAAATATTACTTGAGCACTACTCATTTTCCTTAATCTTATTCATTTGAGTATATTATTAAATGCAAAAGGGGAAATAATAATAAATGATTATCTTTGAATATATGTTTCAATTTTATGGGAACTATGGATATACAATATTCTGTTGCTTCAGCAATACGTAAGGCAATTAATACCATCAAATTATATAATCGAATTGTTGAAGAAAATTAGAATAACTAAACACAAGAATATTGCAGAATCTTCAAAATTTAAAGAATTATATCCCATAAGTAATTGCAATACCGTATATATGTAAATGCTAAATTAATATGGAGAGCAAAAGATCCAATAAACATATATAATGAGAAATTGCAATACCGTATATATGCAAAAGATCCAATAAACATATTTAATGAGAAATTGCAATACCGTATATATGGAAATGCTAATTTAATATGGAGAGCAAAAGATCCAATAAACATATTTAACCTTTGCTTCCAATACAGTATATCTTTATTATAATTCCAAAACCTATCCTAAGGAAAGTAATTAACCCATTCTATATAATATTTGCATGAAGACTTCGCATAAGACTGATTTGGTGGATCAAAATCATTTTGTGGTATCTTCATAATATGGGCCCTAATATTCAATTCGTTACAGGATTTATTTTAGCAATGCCCCTAATATTATGGAACAAATCAACAAACACATACAATGACGAAAAATTCAAAGCCTCGAGAAAAAAAATGAATACGATTAATTATTTACTTCAATGATTACTTTTTTACAGGAATCGACAAATTAATTTTCACACGCAACAGTTATTATTAGGGTCAAAAGGTGGCAACTCAACCGATGAAAATCTAGAAACCTCTTAGTTAGCCTATATATAACCTTGCACATATCTCTTCTACCAAAGCACCGTAATCTCTTTCTCTCTTTTTATTTCAAGAAAAACAGAAGATCTTTGTAAGAAATTTTCATAAACGTTTAGATTTGGTTCCTTTTTCGTTCTTTTTAACTATCTTTCATATATCGAGTTTAGACAGTTTAGAGTGAAGATTAAACAGAGAAAGAGATTAAGTAGAAACGTATTCGATTTGTAGATCTATTTTATATAAAAAAAAATGTTTACATAATCTTTTATATTTTGTTTCGATAATCTTTATCGCTTTTTATACTTTTTATGATCTTATCGAGTTTAGACAGCTTAGATTGAAGATTAAACGGAGATTCATGATAAGTAGAAATGTATTTGATTTCTAGATATATTTAGGGATAAAAAAACTTTGTTCACATAATCTTTTGTATTTTGTTTAGATAATCTTTATTTATTTTTTACTTTGTTTAGATCTAACAAATTTATGTGTAGATAAGCATGCATATATTTTAACAAGTTTTTTATTAAATGAACATGCAGATCACGATCAAGGGATGGCATCCAACCGCGAGAGGAACCTTAAGCAACCTATGATTGAAGATTATGGACGCTCGATGGGAGAGGCGTACTGGAATGGAATGTATGATATGATCAAGCATTACCGAGCACTTCTCAAGATGTACAGGGAGTTGCAGCATGCCGAGCATGAACGACACCAAGCAGGGCTCGAAGTCTATCGCATTGCCGGTAAGTTGGAAGTGATTGAATATCTCTTCAACGATGACGCTATCATGGAGGTGAAGGAGAAGCTTAAGAGTGAACTTGTACTTGCTGAGGTTAATCTTGCTGATAAGAAGGTTCCGACTCTGAACTGGGACAAGTTAAGAGAAAGACAGTTCTTATTTTACTTCATAAATTTAGATTATTTATGGATAATAATTTTATTTATATTTTGGGAGCTTATTTTGAAATTTATTATATTTTCTTGTAATATGCGTACAGAAATAAGGTTGAAAATTAAACATAATACTATTATTCACCTAAAAATAAAAAATACAACATATATATAATATAATTCTAATTATACAGGATAATATAAAATCTGTTACTTCTAAAACTGTCAATTCTTTTTAGAAGAAGTCTTAGCAAATCCATTAGATGACGAACGAAAATATTTTCGTAAAACACACTAATTATTTTGAGACTTTGCAATTATACATACACACAATAACTGCTCGCACCATGTGCGTTATTTTATACTCTCTCATACAATGTCAAATATTGAGTACCGGCTTTTCTCCATGGTGTAGGGTTTCTCCAAAACATGGTGTAGTCCGTTACTTCTAAACCGATACACTATTATACTAAATTTTTGAACATAATTATAGCCGCACAGGGTGCGGGCCGGTCACCTAGTTACTATTACATTGGCTTTTGATTTGAAAAAAAATGGAAACAAAATGTTGTTTGGTGTCTACGTTCTACAGTAATATTCCCGTCTTTCATATCTAACTATACATTGTGTACATTCACGTGAGTAAATATATAACTAAATATTTACCATAAGTGAAGTATCTAATTCTTTTAGAAGTTGAAATACTTTTTTTTGTTAATAGTTTTTTCACTATCAATCAAATTATAATGAAATGATTTGTCTTAAAGTTATCTTTTAAGTGATTAAAAATCGAAAAAACTAACCTAAACTCGTAAACAGAATTAGTGTTCTTTTATTAAAAAATAACAAAACTAATAGTCATATTATGCACAATGCTCAGGTTATTTTCCAGGTATTTACTAGGGATCACTACAAGAAAACATGTGTCTAACGACTACACTATTGGTTGTTAATTAGTCGTAATATGCCATTTACGACCAATTAACATCGAAAACCAATTGGTCGTTATTCGCTAGTCGTTATGCACAATTAGTCGTAACGTAGTCGTAACATTACGACTACACGCCGTAGTCGTAAGCTAGTCGTAATATTACGACTAAGGCATTAGTCGTAAAGTTGAGGTGACACTCGTAGTCGTAACGTAGTCGTAAATGTCTTAATAGTTAATTAGTCGTAATATAGTTAGTAGTTAAGTAGTCGTAATGCGTGTAGTAGTTAATGAGTCGTAAACATTAGTAGTTACTTAGTCGTAATATTACAACTAAGTAACTTCGACAGTTGTTGTCGGTTAGTCGTAAATCAAAGACTAATTTACGACCAATTTAGATTTTATTTTTTAATAAAACGATTTTTTAATTTGATTTTTTTTTTAATTTTTGGTTTTTAATTCGATTTTTTAAAAAAAAGTTAATAAATTTTAAAAATATATATATATAATTATATTTGATTAAAATAAAATATAAAGTATTCATACAAAAAACCGAAAAACTAAGGTGTTTTGTTGAGGTTCATGTTTTGGAAGAACTCAGAAGAGTGCTGCTCCGCACGTCGATCCATATCCATTTGCTCTTCCGGAGTGGGGTCGGGGTTAAAGCTCGGACGTAGAGATTGCCATGCATTGGCAACCGTCGGGTTTGGGTTCGAGGTCTCCATCATAAGATCGAACATATGCGCCATAGCCTTGAACTTGTCTTTATGCTCGTCTATGACTTTGTTGGCAGCTGCTAGTTCCCGTCGGAGAGAGGAATCTTCTTCTATTCTTGCTGCATGTTCGGCCCTCGCCCTCGGGACATCGTTCACCGTCCCGATCCCAACAATACGTCCCCTTTTCTTCGGAGAAACCTACAAAAGATCAAATTTTAAGTAAAAATGTGAAAATTTAATAAAAAATTAAAAATGTTAATAAAGTTAAAAATTAAAATAATTTACCTGCTCGAAAATCTTGTCTTGGTCGATGGTTGTAAGTTGGACCGGTGGAGCATCCGGATTTTGTTGCGACATCTGAGTCTGGACCTCTTCGATCCGAGCCTCTACCTCG